TATATATATATATATATATATAGAGAGAGAGAGAGAGAGAGAGAGAGAGAGAGAGAGAGAGAGAGAGAGAGATAAATATCTCTGTCTATATATAGATATATCGAGAGAGATTTTTTTTTTTTTTGTCAACGATAGCTATGCATCCAGGCTGTGCAGGGGCAAAGCAATCTCAAACCATGATGCCCCCTCCACCAACCTTTACACTTGGGGTGGTGTGCTGTGCCATTTTTGTCCACACATCGTGTTGTGTGCCTCTTTTACACAACTCAACTTGGATTTCAGCTGTCCATACAATAGTTTCCTTGAGCTAAGTCTTACATTTTGTGGCCAATTTATGCAGAAATCCAGGCAATTCTAAAGGGTGACAATATGTTTTCTTGCAGCAGCGTTTTTGAACCGTGATTGATTCGAGTGGCTTAAGGAAGTGCTGTGTTTGAGGAAAACTCCTCAAAATTTTGCTCAAACTGTGGGAGAGTATCGTCACGGTGTCAAATTTTCCAATTGTCCAATCCTTGATCAACTTAGGCGGATATTTGCTTTCCTCCAAGCACTACACAAAGGATGTTGTAGAAATGAACTTGAAATTGGCCATAACAAATTAGACTCAGTTTCGACATGGAAGTTGACTATTACTGTGGCTTCATTCGTGCTAAATTTCCAACAAGTTGTTGAGATTTCTGGCGGCTTTGTGGGACATTTTTTTTGTTCCTTGGCTGTACTGTGGAGGACATGCATGCTGGAAGTGAATTTTCCATTGGCCACAACTTGACACACCCGAGGATGTTGTTCTGTTCGAACTGGAAGAACACCCCCGCAACAGATTACAGTCAACTCTCCCACAGTCTGTCGAATTGATGCCAAAGATGAACTTTTTGTTTGGTACGCACAATCCATACAATCTGTAGCTTGTTGATGAGTTTTATGCAACATTTCTCTGTTATGTCCTATGTGCAAAGGACTGCAAAGGAGTGACCCTCGGTCCTTGGTTCTCCTCAAATTGCATGCTGTCATCAGGTGTTGATCCGGCATCATTTCTCCATCGACAGTTTGTGCTTTTCTGCGAACGTGCGTAGATGGAATGCCACAATAACCCTTCACCTTCTTCTTCCGTGTCATCAGGTGAAAATGAGGAAACGATTCATTGGAGAAAATGGCAGAGCAACCTCTTCTTGAGAAGTCCAGTTTCAAATCTATGATAAAGGATAATGTTGGCTTGCACCACATCACTACGAGATGATCTGATTGTAAGGCCATGACCACAAATAATCTGTGTGACGAAATTGTGCTAATAGAATCAAAACAAATGTGTGTGTGTGTGTGTGTGTGTGTGTGTGTGTGTGTGTGTGTGTGTGTGTGTGCGCGCCCGTACACGAATACTAACCCCGAAACAGCCATTTATGAGCACACTTGGCAAGAGAGGAACAATTTTGAGCGCATAAAAGAGAAATGTAATTAAAAGAGAAAATAAGCCTTTTCGGAGTGATATTTGATCTTACCATACAACACAAAATTAATTTTGTAGCAGTGACGTGACATCAAATTCTGAGCCCTAATTTTGTGCCTATTAAATATGCATAAGTCAAACACAAGCGGGGAATTGTGACATTTTCCAAATGAGCAAAACAAAAATATATTTGTAGTTTGAAGGGAACATCCGGCGTGAACCTCCAGTGACTCATCAAAATAACTGATGTTCTATTATCGGCATAGCAACTTTTTTTTGATTGACAAGGATTTCTTTGTATCGTATTTTCAACACTACAAGGCACTTCGGAGTATAAGGCGCACATTCAATCAAGGGCCTATTTTAAAACTGTTTTCAGATATAGGGCACACTGCCTTCTAAGGCGCATAGAATAGAAGCTGCAATAGTGGCTGCATTTGCGCATCCATCCACTAGATGGAGCTGTGCTAAAGATATTACAATACAATACAGCTTCATTCATATGGAGCTTTCACAACCGCTGCACTGCAACAAAGCGATTTACAGAACATTTAAAATACTAAATCCATGATATCATAATATTGATCCATATATAAGACATATCGGATTATAAGGCGCACCGTCGCCTTTTGAGAAAATGGAATGCTTTTAGGTGTGCCTTACAGTGCGGAAAATACGGTAACTTGTGCGCAACTTAAAAATCCACAGATTTGAGGGTATCAGGTCATTTTCCGTTCTTTCATGTTTGCATAGGATGTGTAGGTTTGATCAGAGGCTGCAGTGTCAACAATGATCCGTACATTTTCTTTGATAGTATTTGACAGCAATTGCTTACCTGTGAGGTTGCGAAGGCCCAGCTGCTTCAATCCGTAGTACCCATCACGTCTGTAGTTGAGGAAGATGGCAAGCGCATAGCGGCTTTCGTACAGCTTGGTACCTCTGATGATCCGCAGATTCTCTAATGGAAGGTAGTCGAACTGGTTGAGACCCACCAGCACGTAGCCTGTCACCTCTCTGATTGACTGCAAAGAAGAGAGAAGATGCAGTTGGAATTTGAAAGCAAGACGAGAATGAAGCTGCAATAGATGAGCACTAGCATCTTTACTGAAGATCCATTTTAAAAGTGGGAACCAGATGTTTGTGTGGGCAAAATTATGTCATTTTATGTCGCTCCATTCCAGTATCAAGGGCAAATTAGGATGCATGACCCCCCAAAAAAGGAAAATGTCGGCCTAAATGCATCCTGATTTTGCACATTTTTCCTGTGATTATGACCCCCCCCGATCCTTGAGCGTTCACATCTGACATTAGTGAATTACACAGTAGCACACATTTTAAACGCATATTCATAAACATTTGTTGCTTTTCTTTTTACCGACGTGACAAGAGGTAAATTGTTTGTCAAACCGATTTCAAAGAAAGGGCATGAATCTTTGGTTGAACATGTTTAAGGGCTATTTTCTCTCATGTGCTTATGTCAGAAAAGGTGGGCAGCTGCATGCTTTTCTGGCTGCAAGCATTCTCCTGCCCACTGAAAGCTTTATAGTTTTTGTCTGTTGCTGTTGCCCCTGCTTTAATAGGACATAAGCCATTGGTCGGCAACGAGTGGCCCACATGCCAAAATTGGCCCGCTACAAACGATACCTGATGTCATTGATGATTTATTAATCAGTAAACAAATCAATAAATACATGAATAAATAAATAAATAAATGAATTAAAGAGTATTAAAGGTGCTTCAATATCACCATGGTCTCTTTCTGGTACAGCATAATGTTCTGCTTAAAATGTAAGATGCCACATGGCTTGGAAGCGCTCCTTTAAAGGACGCATTGGTTCAGGATACTTGGAACGCACTTTGCTCCCCGGGTCACTCCTGGGGCTTCCCCTGCCTGAGTGGGGCAAGGAAAAAAAGATGAATCCTTAGGAAGATGTAATTATTGTGTCATTATCTTCTGCTATAGGAAATGCGAAATAATAAATTAGTTAGCTTTTTCAAACGGGAGCGTGGGGGACTGCGCACGGCCAAATGCAGGGTATAGTAACACAAAGTTAGAGGAGCTGATAGCGCTGTGTAATATTTTTTAGAAGTGGCTCAGGTGAAAAATAAGCTTTTGTGTGTTCAGAAAAAAAGTGACACACTACAGTTTTAAAGACAGCACTCTCATTCCAGATCTTCAAAACATAAGTTACTGAGAGAAAATGATCAAATGTAGAGACAAAAGAATTGATCAAAGAGGCATTGTGAATGAGCTACTATAGTGTTTTAGGATATTTATTGTTGAAAAACATCAGTGCCAGCGGACAATTTTTCACCTCTTTCAGGAGCTTTCCGGTTCAAGCATTCCGCACGGCGGCCAGCATTGAAGATGAGCCTTCGGAGTTTTTGCCGACTGCCACTTTTGCCGATGTCTACATTAAAGCGCCTCTGTGACACAGAAAAAATTGGACACCGCTGCTCCAGCCCTTTTTTAATTTGATTAACCTTCAAACATGTTCAATTATAAGCAAAGTATTCTGTTTCAACTACATTACTAAATTGTATTTCCTACAGCATTAAAAAAAAAAAAAAAAAAAAAAAGTGGACTCCTTCAAAGTGATATCATGTGCAACATATTTTTCTGAAGGATTTCAATGACATTCAAAAGTCTCAGGAATGCCTCTTTTGTGGTGGTGGGTACTAATGGTGGGTTTGTCATAAGTCTGGCCCGGAGAAGGCGCGCAGCGGGAAATGCGCAAGTGCTGTAGACCGATAGTTCGGAGCTTTGTGATAATAGCAGGTGTCCGACACAAGCTTCGATATAGCGGCTCGCAGCCTGGCCGCAAACACAATGGAAACTAAACAGAAAGTGGAGGTGCTCATTAGCAAGATTGCAGTGCGTCAATCATCGAGAGTGAGAGAACAACATAATAAAAGAGCAGCATTCATTTCAGTGAATGATTTGATTAGCATACTTATTACAGAGTGGATGCCTATTGTGAGGACCACCAGAAAGTCCCGGTTTAAAAAAAAAAAAAAAAAAAAAAAAAAAGTGCGTTGGAGAGCAAAGTTGTTTTACTTGCCATCTCGTCTTCAACTGGAAAGAAAACGAACAGGAAAATAACATTGTATTCTTGCAGGGGATTTTTCATTCCGCCCCCTGGTTGAAAGTCATACCCTGCCATTACTTTGACCCCCACTGTGGCCTTGTGTTCACTGCTGGGGGTTTGCTGAGCTCACCCGGCTGTCATTAACTCCGTGGTGAGCCCCACGTGCCCACTGAGGCCCCCGGCGACTGGCTGGCGCACTCATTGCTGCTCCGACTGTGGCCCTTTCTCCTAGCCAGCCCCCAGTCCGGAAAATACAAAAAAAATGACAAGTATATAAGAGTTCCTTGTTGCCTAGCAACATCAGGAAAAGGGAGCGCAAAAACAAACTGGAGAAAAAAAATCCTGGTAAATGAGTTCATTCAATTACATGATTATTCTGCCCTTTCTCTAGCATTTCCATAGCGTTGGCATAATTTACTTCTTCTCTGTAATTAAATACACGTTAATACATAGATGAAACCTTTTTAGATCAATAGTCATCGAAGGTGCTGGAATCATCGAAAAGTATCAGGAGGGATTCTGCAGCGAGGATCGTTTCCCCCCTGCTGCACTCTGCTTCTGACAAAAAAAGAAAAAAAAAGAAAAGAAAACAATCTGAAACTGGAGAAGCTGCCTGTAAGCCAGGCGATTTCATTCGATGGATACTCTCTACACTGTGTACTAAACAAGGCTCGTGCTAGAGTTGATTAGTGGGGTGTTTTCCAACACGACTCTCAGCACTTGTGTCTTTGCAGAAAGTGTGTCGATTTTTGTTTTGTTTTGTTTTTTAAATTTCACTTCAGGCATCATTGTTTTTACTCTGGTGAATATCTCTGCCAAGCTGCGCTGCACACGCTTCAAAAACTGCAACTGTCGGAGACTTTGCAGACACAGGTCAGATACACATGACGCATCCCAAGTTTTCTTTCCATCCCACTATCTTCATAAAGTAGTGTCCTATTGTGTAGCAAAGAGTTTTTCAATTGACCTGTCTGCGGCAGGTTAAACCGCATGTTGGGTAAATACACTAAGGCCAAAAATGGAGAGCCAAACAAGTTTGATTTAATCATCAAAGTGCAGAAGGTGCAGGATGTTCGCAGGTGTGTGTTTCTCTTTAACCTCTCAACATTTCTTGACATCAGATATGACAAGAATATGATGTAGTCAAAGGCGGAATTTCAGGAAGTCCAACTACTTCCAGTTGTCATAATCTCTTCAGCATTCTGTTAGATTTGACAAAACACTATCTACTGCGCAAGCCTAGAAAAACGAAAAAGTTCAAGTTTCAACAAACTTGCCCTTCCTCTTGTTTTAGTCTGAATGTCAACCTTGCCCGGATTGTCTCCATCTGTTGCCCCTCACTTTGTGTTTGAATAGTCCTTGTCTCCCTTTGTCCGTGCCAGTGTGTTTGGTCCTTGTGTGTGCACTCCGGCCTCTCGCCAGAGATCTGACCAGCTCTCAAATAAATTTCCCATTTTACTCTGAACGCTGCAACTGTGTCCCGTGTCCAAGACTGGCTTTGACACAAGCAAGGTGCACCATTGCCAGGCATTGATTGCTGTGTGCTTGTGCGTCAGGCTTCCAACAGCACTCGTAGTTTTATGATTGGTATTTTTTTTTCATTTCACACAGCTGAAGATTGTTGGCATCCACAAGGACAAGATTTTGTGTAATACCTGCTGCAGTCAGCATTTTACAAAAGGCACCATGCCCGCATTGGACTTGGTGTTTGGGAGAGAAGACTAAGACCATCTCCCAATAGAGAGAGAGAGAGAGATAGAGAGAGAGAGAAGCTATGTCTGGCCACAAAAAAGTACCTTTATGGACTTCCTGTCAACCTGGCGCTAGTTGAAAAACCCATCACTCAGAAAGGGAGATTTCCAACTGCATCCTTGAAAAATGACACATCTTTCTTCACCAGGAATCGTAGAAAGGGTTCTGTCAGTCGTCATCTGTACCTGTGGGTAAAAAACAAAAAACAAAAAACAAAAAAAGCAAAAAAGGACGTTTCGCTTCTCTCACAGAAGCTTCGTCAGCGGTAGACAACCCTGAAGTCTCCGTGAAGACTCCGGGAAGTTGCTCTGCGCTAAAAAGCTGAGCGTGGCCTGTTTGAGGACTGGGTGGGGATGGTTAGTCACGCCCCCATTGGTTTATTAGAGGCCCATTGGTTTCTAAATTCCCTATCATTGGGTCTTGATTAGGCCTATTGTTTGGGCTAAGGCTGAATAGCTACTTTCAGTTAGCCTGATCAGCATGTCTATGTCCCTTACTGGTCAACAAGTTATTGTAAATAGGAGACAGGTTAAATCTGATACCTCCTTCACGGAGGGTGAACCTCTCTGAACCGTGAAGTGAACGCTGCAACTGTGTCCCGTGTCCAAGACTGGCTTTGACACAAGCAAGGTGCACCATTGCCAGGCATTGATTGCTGTGTGCTTGTGCGTCAGGCTTCCAACAGCACTCGTAGTTTTATGATTGGTATTTTTTTTTCATTTCACACAGCTGAAGATTGTTGGCATCCACAAGGACAAGATTTTGTGTAATAACCTGCTGCAGTCAGCATTTTACAAAAGGCACCATGCCCGCATTGGACTTGGTGTTTGGGAGAGAAGACTAAGACCATCTCCCAATAGAGAGAGAGAGAGAGATAGAGAGAGAGAGAAGCTATGTCTGGCCACAAAAAAGTACCTTTATGGACTTCCTGTCAACCTGGCGCTAGTTGAAAAACCCATCACTCAGAAAGGGAGATTTCCAACTGCATCCTTGAAAAATGACACATCTTTCTTCACCAGGAAATGAATGCATCTAATGTTATGAAAACTGAACACAGAGGAGGTAGAACATCTGTGCTTGCAAGTTACCATGTACATTCAATTAATTTGACATTTACAGCTCGAAGCCTTCGTCCTTCATGGCAGCTGACGTGGATGAATTTGCTTTAATGATATGATTCA